AAATTTCCTACTAGACTCAAAATTTTTCAATTGCCAAAGACTGCCTCAAGAGAGAAAAAAATTTCTGGTATAACAACAAAAGAACAAAAAATTCATAAATGGCATCAAGTACCTAAATTTAGAACCTAAAGCAAAAGTCAAACTAGGTAAATTTTCATCTAGCCAACCAAGATAAAAGTTGAGTGTTTATAGTTTATATTGTCCTGGATTCTGTTTTTCTCTTGGGCAATGCCTAAAGAATTTAGACTGCTACATTTTGTTAACATTAAAATGTAGCTATTTTTTTATATCTACAAGCTGGAGGCTATTTTCCCTATATAGAAAGGACACAAAACTGGTAATCTGAGTAATGCTGACATGGACACATTACTAGATTCTAGAAAATCCATCTCCTTCAGGAGGGCAGGCTGTTTAGTCTGCACAGTTATCAAAAGTCAACCTATGTATCCTCAGATGAATTAGTTTAGAATCAAGTTATATAAGCCAAGCTCTGTAATCAGCCCTATTGTACATCATTTGCTTTTGCAAATAAATTGACATAATTAGTAAGACATATGCAGAAACAAAGTGTTGTTAGCAACTATATGACTATAACTTACTCAATATCTAAGTTCCTGGAGCATATTGGGAACTTAATTCTCCTAAATTAATTGGATAACATGTACCAGTAACCATGAAACCATCTGTAAGCAATATCCTAAATAAAATACATTTATAAACACTAGAGGGTGCTCTAATTCAACAGTGTCTGGTATCAGCTTTGATGCTAAAATTTATCCTCCATTAAAGTTAAGATCATCTTCAGCACCAATTAACTTTTGCTCTCAAACTAATACATGGAGATAATTTATAGGAGAAAGGTGATATTGCTTTAGGATATCATCTGTTGCCTTAAAAAATATTTTTTAAGCCAATAGCTATGGAGTAGAAAAGAAAAAATGCAAAGCTTTGAATATCCATAATATAAATAATTAATAATAATAATATCACATTTAGATCTTCAGAAGATATACTTTTTGTACTAGTTTTTAAATTTATTCCTAAAACATTCATAAACACAATCATAAATCTTTGAAATTCTCAAATTTGAGAGTAATTTATATGTTGCCATTTGGTAATCCAGAAAAATTCTCTGGAGTATGAGTTTCCAATAGACAGCACTAGACAATCACAAATAACAAAGTTTAATGCCTAGTTATTGGCATATATATCATCTATATTTTTCAAGAAAGTGGCTATTGACTAACTAAAACACTATTTAATCCAAACAAAGCATTCTGCCTTTAAAAATTTTTTATGATAAAGCAAATGAAACATTGTAAATATTTCTAAAATTCACATAACCAAAATCAACCAATTTCTCTTATACTCCCTCCATCTCTCTCTCACACTCACACACACACCCCTACACACATGTGCTTGCAAGCACCCACACCACTCCCTCATAAACCACTCTCCATGAGGGGAGTATCTGGCTTATACCTCTCATTCCTTTCCCTAATGAAGTACCAGGAGCCCCTAAAGAAATCCTAAACAATAAACTCCAAGTTTATAACAGCCCCAGATAAACTCTTCCAGATCGATAGGATACAATACTAGAAAAGCCAGAAATATGACTGAACCAGGCTCACAAACCACCCAGACTCTAGGAACCAAAATACATGGCAGTCAGAGAACTAATCAGATTGCTGGAGCCCAAAGAAATTCTGAACATGAAAATGTAATATAGTTTGAAGTACATATTTGCCACAGATACTCTTTTGGCACTGGCTTTCTCTCTTCTGTGTTCATCTGCCTTGTATCTGCCAGATACCTAGGCCCTTATGACACTCTAAATGCCCAGCTGCCCTTCTTTACTCACTGTCACATCATTTAATACCTTCTTCTGCAATAGGTGACAGTATACACACTCATTAGAGTATTAATATTGAAACATTCACATACCTGCTCTTTTATGAAGGTTTGCTGAACCACTATATACATCTCCATTGATAGAAAAGCAAGTTACAAGAAAAGTTTTAGTCCTTTTTAGGAAGTTTCAAATCACACTACTACAAACACTGTACTCTACAACTACATCATAGTCCTAATCATGTTTTAGCTTTCCACTGATATTTATAGCATTTGCCCATAAATCTGAAAAGCACAGGGCCTAAATAAAGTAAAGAATGGGTAGAAATATGCAATTTTATTTACAAACACCAACTTTTTTCTCTTAATAATATGTTACATAAAAATTTACAAATCTTGGGACTAAAATATTCTATTCAAACAATAATTGAACATGCATACCTGCTTTCCATGATTCCTAAATTGCGTTGCAAACTAATAGTCTCTGTTGTAATTTCCACTTTCCGTACACTTCCAAAGAAATCAGTTATCAGAACATTTTTAGGATCCCTCTGAAAAAGATCAATGCGATGTCCAGGAGTAGACACACACAGACTTTTGGGACATACCTGAAACTGAAATATGTATAATGATAATAAATACACACATGCCTACATATGCAACATAATACAACTTTTATTAAACCCAGTAATACAACATAGTCTACTGTAGTGTATTTTTAAAGCTCTCCCAACCTAAAGAATCTACTGGTTCTAAAGATTAAGGTTTCATTGCTATGATAGCAATTTTAATAAAGCTATACAGACATTAGAACAAATGATTAAACAGGAAGCTGGCTAGGAAGGGGAAAAAACATTTGCTTTTTTGAATCATACACTACAAAGTATATTTTGAACACTTAAACCTATAGAATTCAAAGGTAACACTATGACAAGAGAATTTTGCTTTTTTTCCATATCAACTT